TGCTGATATTTCTAGTGTGACTTCTTAGGTATTTCTGTGCTGCACACCTCTTCCACAGCAGTTGATTGATAACTGCAGTCAGGCAGAGCTCTTGTGTGGTCTCCAGATCAGCCTCTCCTCAAGCAGTGTGTTCACTTTGTTGTACTTGTGCTGCTTTTTTAGAGCTGCTTACAAATCTGTTGTTCTGGCTTCTTCCTTCATGCAGTAACTGCATTAATGTGGTGACATTGTTTAGAGCAGCTGGTAGGTTCTTGGGGTTATACAGATTACTGACTTTCCAAAAGTATTGCTTCACATGTGGAGACACTCCTCTAGTTCAGGTATACGTTTTTAGCGATCCCCATAATCTTTTACCTTCAATGGATGACTTTACCTTTCTTTTTATGTCGTTTTAGTGCTGTTACCAGAGCTGCCACCCTGTTTCCTGGTAGCAGACTTTGTGCCTGTGTTGATGGCAGTGTCTTGTTCAACCATCCAGAATTGTTCACTTGCTTTCTCATTGCCTACCTGGAATGGGCAAACCTATCCAGCTGCTGCTTTGCTGCTGCCAAAAGCTTCTGCAGATGAGTTTCGTCAGCACCAGTCAGAAAGATGAATTAAAATCCTCTTGTTTATATATCATATGCCTTTTTTATATCCATCCTGGATCTTTGATCACCTTCTCACCTTGCTCTTGCTCAGGCCAAGGTGTAGAAGTGTTCAGCAGTGCTACTTTTTCAGCTGTGTGTACCAGAGCCAATGTGGAAAGGTTTCTCTTCAAATCCAGTCATCGTAGAGAGGGTACATGGTTAGTTTTTTATTGTTACGTAGTGACTACTCTCCTTTCTGGTCTTACAGTTGCCCATGTTTACATTAATAACTTAAATTACTTTGAAAACTTTGAGAGTGCCTTATTATCAGAAGCTAATTCCAAGTTTTCTTTGAGTTTCTGGGGGCTTTGATTAATATTGTATCAAAAGTTCTTGGTAACATGCATAAATCAGAAGGTTCTCTACCGGCTGTTTTCTCTTGTGCTGAGTGAGTATTCTGTTGGAGTAGTTCACCGATCTTGTTTGTGCTACAAATTTTTTAATAGTATAATGGAAGAAATAACACAGAAGTAAACAGACGTGTGAGTGGGAAGGGTTGCTAATGGAGAAACGCTGGTCTGTGGTGTTTTAAGATAAGTTAAACCGCAGACAAAGTTAGGATTGTTTAGCCTGCCTGTGCAGACTCGCCAAGCACAGTCTGTGCTGTTACTTCTGGACATCAGAGAAATTATCAAGCTCTCCTTGATAACTACCCTTCCTGCGGGGAAACTTGAAAGCATTGGTGGTGTCTTGTTCTGAAAAGCAAGGTTGTTGCCTGAAGAGCTGCCCTCTGGCCTGCATGTGCCTTTATCCATGAAGTTTGGGATGTTCTAGCAGCCTATGCGATAGCTCTTGGTGTATGCTGAATTCAGCAGCCTGCATTGTCTCTCCTTATACAGCTTTTTTGAGTGTCCGTGAATGAATGATGAGTCTTCATGCAGCCTCATAAAGGATATTTGAGTACTCAAAAAAAACTTGTCAAATTAATACTCCAGTAAAGATAAAAAGCAGTTAAGAGGAAGTACTAATATTTTCAGTTCTTCAATGTACAAATAACAGTGCAATTAAATATTTTTGGAAGTACAATTTTGAGTTCTGTTTTTAAAGTAAAATTCAGCTTGTCTGATAATGTCAGGGCTTATTGACTTTCACTAAGCCCTCAAATAATGATTTTTTTTCCTTTTTGTTTAAGGTTTTGAGCAATATTCCTTGCAGACAAACCACTTAGGCTTGCTAAATAACTGTCATTACTGTTGTGTGTTGAAGTAGGTGGAGTAAAACCGTTGTAAAGGAGACCAAAGATTTTTTAAAAAGACAACTTTATTACAAGCTGAGACTAAAATTCTGGTGTAGACTTTCAGACCTTTGTATTTGGAAGGCATAAAGGACATTGTTCTTATCTATGGGCTTTGCTCATTCTGCCACTCGGCATTATGAAAGCAAAATCCTTTTAAGTATTATGTATTATGACATCTGTTTATCTGTAATCACCTTTATGTAGTAATATCATTTAGAAGTATACAGCATAATCAGTGGAGGCATCTGTGCAGTGATTTTGATGTGTCTAAGCGGAATTAACTTCTATACAGAAGTTAATATAAAATGCATGTGAAATGTTTTTCCCCCTCAGTGAGAGGAGGTGAAAAGATCTGAATACAAACAGGTAGGAGAGGGTCTCCAGCCAAAAGCCCTAAATGCTTCTCTCTCCAGTGTATCTGGAGTGATAACAGGAGCCTGAATGCTTTGGTTTTGTCACCTCATCAGCTGTTCAAATGCTCACGCCCAGCAGGAAATGGTAGCTGAGGCTGAATCCTGGAAATACTGAAACGATGCTGCATACCAAAATACCTATTTTTCAGGGAAAATGAGTAGCAGCCCACTAAATATTATATTGCTGGTCTTTGTCTTGCTAGCTTTGCTTTATTTTCTAAAGCGCTCCCATTGACATAATTGTAACTGTTCTATGGGAAGCAGGACTAATCACTTTGAAGCATATGGCTTTTTAATTCCTGATGTTTGGTCTTTAAAAAAAAAAACAAAAAACACCTTTGCCATGCAAACTGTTTTCATGACTCACTTGAACTGGACCTAATTAGAAACCAGGATTCTGTTAATAATACCACGGACAGCTTTTAAGGCTGCTTAGATTTAAAATTGTAACTGGCTTCATAAATTAAAAGCAGATTTATTCAAAGATAGATGGCTCCAGTATGCTGTATGTTAACAAAGGGAACCAGTAACTGTTTTCCAAACTCAGCAATGTTGGTTCCTCTTCTGGGGACCACAGACATAGCAAAATTCCTGTTCCAACTTCACTGCAAGGTCATCTTGGATTTCTTCAACAAAGTCTTGTTTCCTGAGGTTACAGACTTTCTCAGGTTTGAATGCAGTGATTGCTGAGCTATTGCAGTAATCTGAAGAGCATTCTCTCTACAAGCCTAACACTGTCAAACTGTTTTGGTCTTTCCACAATACCAATGATTTTCCAGTAGGTCAATGTTTTAGCTTTCTTGGGAATTATTCACAGTTCAGATTTTGTCAGAATGCTACAACTTTAATCGTAAAGTGCAGTGCTAGGTTGGAAATAGCTTTTTATAAAGTCTTGTTTTTTGGCATAATTAGCTATATCACATAATTTTCATGTCAAGTGGAAGTATGAAGTAAAGGGTAAGAACTCTTTTTCCATATTAGATATAAAAAATACGTAATTTAAAAAGTAAAAAAAGCGGTGAAAGGATTGGTGGAATGGGACTTGTTCTTTGAGATGTGATGGTGGTAGTTAGAGGGGTACATTGCTGTGTCCTGTGGAGCACTTCAGTGAAGACAGGAGTGTTATGGAAACAAAGTGCTTCAAGCGAGAGGGGTTTTTTGGGGAAGTGCTGGGATGTTCTGTGGGCTCACTGCAGTCTCTGGTGAGTGCAGTGTAAGTTCACCCAGGTAAGATCTTCTGGAGGAGCTTTCTGTCTGCAGCCCATGGCCTGCAGGGTGAAAATACTCTGCCTAGGTCATGCAGGCTTGCTGGGAGGCACAGAGACACAAGCATCTTACACACATCTCTACAGTCTGTAGGAAAGCAGTCCCTGATATTAAAATATCAGACTGATATTTTAATGCAGCTTCCTTAATAAAACTTGTCTGGACTTAGCAGAAGTCACTTGAGATTTTTTTTTCCAATAGTAAGAGTTTTGTCAAGCATGGTTGCCTGTGTACAGTGATGTGCTTCAGAAGTTGTTGGAATTGTTTCTGGTTTCAGACCATAGAGAATGGCTTGCAGCTCATACCAAAGCCTCAGTGTTTTGCATGAGAAGATGAGATTGAAGGTCTTGATATCAACCTAAATTAGGAACGAAGTCCTGATGTCAAGCCGTTTAACCTAAAGACAGGCTTTGGTAGCAAGCTGCGATGACGACAAACTTACACTGTTCGAAATGGCAGCGGCTGTTCTGAGAAATGTGTTAATAAACCCTGGCTGCAGCAATCTTCCAAAATCTGAGTTTTTTAATCAAGTTAAATTCACTGTTTAGATCTCTCATCTGCTAACCAGAGGCAAGAAGTTTCTTGGATTTATACCAGTCTCGAACTGTGGCAACAGTCTTCCTGTTCTTGCCAGTGTTGTGGTTATATTTAACATCTGGACTAGTTGTAATCAGCTGCAAATGGCCCATTAGCTTTTTTGTTATCCTCTTAGCACTGTACAGTTCAAATCTAACTGGGTTTGCAACAATCCTCTTTTTTTTTTTTTTAAAAAAAAAAAAGGCAAACTACAACAATGTGCTTGGACATGAAAATGCCATTATGAAGAACTACCTCACTGATATGTTTCCCCACTTCTCCTTGAGATATCCTTGACTCCGCTGCCACTTGCACGTCCACTGGTACTCTTAAATAGGCTGTTGCAAGGAAACTTTCTAAAGGCCTTCTCTGCAAAATTTTAACTTACTAAATTTTTAATCTAGGATTTTAGTAATGGACTTGATCCTTGCAAAGTAGTTTCTTCTGTTTGTGGGATGGGAAAAGCATTTCAGGTGAGCTATTTTTCAGTGGTGCATGGTCATCTTACATGCTAATGGAAAATTGATTTACTGCATTTCCTCTTTCCTCTTCTTTCCATCTTGAGGATTTAAAAAAAATAAAAAAAATGCTGCGGTATAGTCCTTTTAGGTATGGTGTGGTTCTTGCGGTAGTTCTCAGGGTAGATGCAGAGGTGTAATAGATTTTGCTATCTTTTAAATTATCTCTTAAAAATAAGCATCCTAATAATTTTGGAACTAAATTTGGAAAGATTAGATTGGAATTGCCTCAAATTCAATTAAGCCCCACTGCGTGGATGTGCTGGGAATATAAATGCAATTACTGTAAATTTGTACAAACTGATTTGTTGCGTTATCTTGCTAATCTAACATACAGTACTTTTTGTGTCCATATTTGCAGACGGCAACTCCAAACTAACATGGCAGTCAGACTGTGTGATGTGGCTTCTCTGCTTAGAAGTGGTTCGTGGGCAGCAGAGCCTTGGACTGGGGTCTGTGGGATTTTTATTAAATTATGTAGGCTACTTTTTTTTTTACATGTTAATAGTGCTGAGGCCATACCAAACTCTAATCTCCCATTTGGAACACTAACTCTCTTCTGTTTCGTTACAGGCTGCAGGTTGTGTCCCTACTCTGTCAGGGCCTAGAGCACACTAGTGTACCATGACAGCTTTTCTATTATATGGTGATCTCCTGTAGAAATTATACTGCAGAGCTTGCCTTTCTTCCAATGTCAATTAGATTTTAGTGATAATTCAAAATACCCAGTGGATAACTGAAGAGTAGCATTGCACTAAAATTGTTTTGGTATGGTCTGAATACTAAATTGCAGTAACTTTAAAAAACCTGTATACTGTGTATTTGATTACTATTTTTTAAAGTATATTTATAAGTCTTATTCTAAGAAATTGTTTTTAAACTGTAAATTTATCTCAAACTATCTTTCAGGGTAGAAAATATTTAGTAACTGCTGAAGACGTGGCATGTGTCTTATGAACAGTTGTATTCAACCTATCAATGGAGTATGCATTATTTGTAAAACATATTAGTATCGCTTTATCCAGAGCAGATGGTTCTATAGCTGGGAAATGCTGTAATTTCAGCACACACAGGCTACTGCAGCTGTTCACTTGAATGTTGGCTTAAGATAGGATTCTTGCCACCTGAACATGAAAATAAATGTGCAATTAAGTGAGGATTGTCTGTCCTTGCTAAATCCTTCTAATTTTGGTCAATGCAGACTTAAAATTTGATAAAGGGGGGGGGAAAAAATCAATTGTACAGAGCTTCAGTCAGAGCACAGCTTTTGTGGCTACCAGCTCTGCCAGATACACTGGTATTCTAAAGAGTAATTTATCTTAATTGGGATAATCTATTTTCCCATCTTTTCAGCAGACGTGTTTCCTCACAGTGCCAGGAGCAGGTTGTCCCCTTGAAGTTTGTCACAAGGGAGTGAAAATGTTGGTGACCCAGTGGTGGCTCCTCAGAAAAAAAACAGATCACATTTTTGTATAAAACACTTAATACATACATCTTCCTTTTCTTGCTTTGTGCTGAAGTAACCTCTTGGAAAATACTTCTGTATACAAAACATGGAAGTGTCTTCCCAGGAATGTCTGACCTCATTTCAGATGCTGTAACCTCCTTTACATGTATTTAGGAAATTCAGATGTGAACTCACTGAGTACAGTTGGCCGAATCACTTGTTCATGTATGTAGTGATTGAATATGCTGCTTTGAATAGGGAAGTAAGGACAGATAACCCCCAGGGGTCTTTTCCAGCCTGATGATTCCTGTGGTTTTGTAGCAGGCTTTCTTGCTTGAGATCTCCTTCTAGAAGTCAGATCTCGTTCTAGAAATCATAGTATGAGGTTGGATTTCAGTGATTACTGGATTTTTATTTAAACTTCTTGATGAGTCTTGCTTCTGGAGTAAATGATCTGTTAGTGGCTAACATACATAGAATTTTCTGGTGAGGTTTGTTCTATACAGCTGGTCTCCTACAGCGTAGGCTACCCAAGCCTTGCATGTTAGACTGCCATTAAAAAAAACACTGTTTAACAGCTGTTAGCATTCATTGGCTGCCAGTGATGGCAGAGAGCCTTTGAACATCTGGGTAATGTGTGGGCAAGTACTGACTCTTCTCCACAGATGATTGCTGCTACGTTTGCAAATCATACAGTCAGTTACTTTTGGGTGAAACACAGGAGTTTCTGGGATAGTGATCGCTCACTTCTTTTGTCTAACAGAGTGAATTAAAGAATCAAATTTAACAGTTTTCAGGGTGCAGAGGTAGGAGGAGGTGATTAACAGAAATTGGCAGTTTAATCAAATAAAAAACATTTAGAAACTGATTGCCAGCCTGTGGTAGCAGAAGGTTGACCTAGAGGTTATCAAGGAAGAGTTTGTTTCCCATCCCAGCACATCCATTTACATCTCTAAACATCTCTTTTTAAATTACTATTCTTGCTTTCCAGTACTATCAGAGACAGGGTCAAAATACAATTAACGCCCACCTGTCTTGAAAATAACCAAAAAAGGCAAATACTTGAAAAACTGCACTTCACATTTCAGTTGTCACTTAAGTTAATAGTACTGATTACCATTGCAACAGTCCAATTGTGCTTGGTAATTTCTATACTAGAAAGGCTGTGATGCCCTGAGCGAAGAGGATGTGGGGGAGGATAGAAACTGAGTTATGGCTCTTGATTTCACTGAAATAAGCCATAGAAGATTTTAGTGATGACTTGATTTGCTTGTAAGTTTTTAAAATGTTTCCTTGATTAACAGTTAAAAAAATCATTCAGTATTGTTTTTGCATGTAGAAGCACTATCTGGCCCTGGCAATACCACTTGTGCACAGTGACAATTCTTTTAGATTCTAATCTGGACTCTCCATAACAGAGGGTGAATTATGAATTTTGATGTTTCTTGCTTTCTATATTTTTAGCAGGTAATCGCTGCCATGGAAACACAGCTGTCTAATGGACCAACTTGCAATAACACAGCCCATGGTTCAACCACCATAAACAATTGCTCATCACCAGTTGATTCTGGACACACAGAAGACAGCAAGACCAATTTAATAGTCAACTACCTTCCACAGAACATGACGCAAGAGGAGCTGAAGAGTCTGTTTGGCAGCATTGGTGAGATCGAGTCCTGCAAGCTTGTCAGGGACAAAATAACAGGTATGTGCATTTGGGGATTTTCTGCATCTTTTCACTTTCCTGGCATCTGAGCTGTCACACGGTGGCTTTGCAATTCTCTTAAACTATGGGATAAACTCAGAAGAAACCACTGCAGATGTTGCTAGTCAGAAGGAACTTTTGTCAGTCATTGTCTAGATTCCACGCCAAAAAGTTGTATACTTATATTTCATCCAGTTCTGTGTATGGGTGCTGTAAATGCGATCAGGATGCTTAATTCCTCTGAGCTTTTGAGTCGTTGAAAAGATTTAGATACAGAAAAGCAGTTAACTATACAAGGCTCACTTAAGATTTTATTGAACTCCAGTGAAGCTGTGACTTCGTTAGCCTGGCTAATACAAAACTTATTTTTTTTTATAGGATTCAGGGAGTTAATCTGGTACCTTGTGAAGAAGGGTGGACTAATTTTATTTAGCTTTGTGGGTAAAGCAGATTTTGCATTGCAGCACTTCTGCGTTTCTTTAGGATGCACACTTGAATTGATTTGTGCTGTCAGAGTGGAAGTATGAGCCTGCAGAGTGATGTTTTCTGTTAGCACTCTATTTTAGCAACAGCTGGTGCATAGAGCGCATGTATTTAGACCAGTTGTTTAACTTTGAAAGAGCTACCAGATGGATGCCTGCACTCTAAAAGCCAAATGAAAGGATGATTGGCAAGGTTCAGTTCGTCTCGTTTCCATTTGTCAACTCTGAGCTCTGTCAGACTAAAAAACATGGTACAGTTTATGTTGACATTTCATTATTTTTATTCAGAAATATTGACTTGGAACTCTATTGCCTGCCTTTTTTTTTTAAGTTGCCAAATACCTAGCTTTAGAGAGCATATCTTAAGTTCTCGGCTGCAGCTGTTGAATGTACTGGTTAGCTTGTGTTTCAAACTACTCTTGGAGGCTACATATTCTCCATGGCTTAAGGGATGGAAGCCAATACTTTACCACTGAAAAGTAGTGCAGAACATGGTCATTTTAATAAATAAACTTCCTTGTGACTGTGTTCTTAGGGCTGCAATAGTTGGACATGAGAAGAGACAAGCTTTAGCCTGATACAGTTTGTATGGGAGGCTTCAGCCCTTACTACACATATTGATCTTGATGCCTTGGATGTGTTGGAGAGATGTTCCCCAGAGGCATACATGAATAGTGGAGGCTGAGGCCTAAAAACCTTCAGGCAGTTCTGGCACCAACATCAAACTTCTCTGGCATGCAGTACATGCTTTTTTCTCTTGTCCTGATAACGTATTTTCTGTACTATCATGGCAGAAAAGTTCTAACAGCTTTTCCTATGTTGGTGCAGGTGCTACTATGTGTAAGGGTGATGTTTAAGCAGGAATCCAGCAACAAAAAACTGAGGGGAGTTTTTCCAGTGTTTTTTTTCAACTGCATCTGCCAAGGGTGAGCAGATGGGGCTGCATTAGGGTTTTCTCTTAAATTTGTCTAGCCTGATAAAGAGGCAGCAGTGAGACTGACTTTAGCCACAGGCATCACCTTTGAATATCTCAAAATACTTTTATTGCCAGTGCTCATACCAAAGGTCTGCTAGCATGCAATAAGTGGAAAATATTGATATGACACTTGTGTTGCTTCTGAATAGTTCCGTTTGCTTTTTGAGAATGTTTTTTTGTAATCATTCTCTGCACTCTATAGGCAGTGCTTGTGGCAGTGAGTTTTACTTGTGTGTGATGTGAGGATGACTGATTACACCTAAGGGGATGTTCTTGGCATTGGTTACTCATGGTTGTAGGTTTTGGCTCCTGTTCTTACCCATATTTTAGCTAACTACAATTCTGTGTCACAACATGGATTCTCAAGCCTTACTTTCTTGAGCCTCCTGCAGTTCAGCTCTGTATAGTATCAGTTAGATCTATGGCTTGCTTTAGTTTCTACTATATAAGATACCTAAAGAGAAGGAGAAATAAATAGGCTCAGGCCTAGAGACATGATGCTGTATTTCTGATTCTGAGACTGTAAGAATGAGGTTGTCTTTTCAAGTGACTATACTACATACAGTTTATATTTGTTAATTTGAAAGCAAATCTCCCCCAAACTCGGTAATCCTTCCTGAAAAGGATGACTTTTAAAAGACTGCCAGAGTGGATCCATCTGTCTTGGTGAATTCACTAGACTGTACTTTTCTGACTATTCATTTCAGATAACATTTGTTGACAATTTACTCTTTCCATAGGGACCATGCAGTGGCACAAAATAGGTCAAGCTAAGAGGTTGCTCAAAGCCCAACACTGTTTCTTTCTTACTGAGTAGCCTGCTTTTTGTGCCTTTGAGTGAAGGTTGTTTTACCTCCCTGTGGATTATAGTGACCAGCACTCCAGATGTCTTGCTCTGAGACATTAGGTAGCAAAAGGGTAAAATCTGAGATTCCATGCTCCAGCACAGTATTCAGTAGCTTTGGCTACTGAAACCACTGCTTTTAGACCTTTTGGGTTGACTTTGCTACCAAACCTTACAGTAATCTGTTCCTGTAATTGTGAGGAACACCAGAAGTGCTTGGGGATGCCAAAGAAACTAGGCTGGGCTGATGCCATGCATTGCAGCCTTCAGCTGAAGGCTGGTTGATGCAGAAAACAAGCCTATCTTTTCTGTAGGGCATGACTTCAGTGCTTTAAAATAAAGCCCCTTTACTTAACTGTTTTCTGGCCTTCTGTTCCAGGAGTTAAAAGATAAAACTGTTACTTCATCTGTTTGTAGGATGGCTATTCAAGCTGTTTACCTGTCTTGTAGACCTGAGTTCTCTTATTTAGCATCCCCTCCTAAAGATGTTTAGGGATTATATTCTTGTCCCAATTAAGAGTGCTGCAAGCACACAGAAGTGATCCTCAAGGTCTTACTGATGAATGTGCAAATTACCCATATCCTTACGTGATGGTTCTGATGTTTTATATGCTGGAAGTTCACGTTGCTGTTACTTAGTGTCAGATAGACACTTTGCCTGGGAATAGAATGGAGGAAAACTTAATTGCAGACCTTGTCTGAAGGTCTGATGCCTCCTGTTTAGCACAAAGTGGTGCCTGAGAAGGATCCTGAATTGAAATTACACTCTTTAGTTGATGACAGCTCCAGGTTTGGAACTCTTTGGAGAAAGAGATGGTGTTTGCATTTATCATAGCAGTTCCTCAGCTTTGAAGCATTTGTTTGGCTACTAGCAAAAACATTGCCTCAGTCTTGTTCCGTAAGGTTTTAGTATAAATGAGAAATGAGGTATCTGATGTTATAACTGCACTGGGAGCCATATGTCTGATTTAAGCGGCCTGGAGCAAGATTACCTTGTATTAGTGGATACAGGGTTGAGAACACTAGTTTCATGCCTGTTCTCATTTATCTTCAGGTTTTATATGGAGTGTTTGGAGAACAAATTTTCCTTTTTCTACAGTTCAGATCAGAGATGAAGAGGAAACTTGAGATAAGTTTCAGAATTACCTTGTTAATTCTTGTGCCAAATACTCTTTAATTGAAGAGGAGTTCGTGAGAGCATAGAATTTGAAATAAGTTTTCACACAGACCAAACTGCAAGTGAGAATTCATATGGGGCAAAACTTTGGTCTGTCACTGACTGTCTAACCTCAGAATCAGATGAGTCTTCTGGCCACTCTGGAAGTGAAACTTCACGTATGAAATGCTTGGAACTAACAGCTTTTTGCCGAGCCTGTAAGACAGCTCCATTACAGGAATGCTAAGATATCTTGCTCTGTCTACACAGATGAATAATACTAAACATGGAGATGAAATGTTTCACAGCAATGAAACATTTTTTGATGAAGGAAGCAAGGAATTCTAATCAATCTGTACATATTGGCAGGCAGTATCAGTACTCCTTTTCATCTAAGGGTTTGGCTGTGAGGAGAAAGCTGAAGTGGAAGAAGTACCTCCTGGTCATAACCTGTTCACAGGCACAACTTGCTGTTTAGGCATCTTTCATATCAGTTGTGAAATGTACTTATGTAGTAGGCAAAAGCAATGTTCTGAGCAAGAATTGAAATACCTGACTGCTGTTCTGTCATTGTACTGAAGGCAGGAATATTAAACCCTCCTATTAATGAAGATTTTAAAAGGAGCTGAAAACTAGTCCCTTCATGTAGAGAATTCCATCAACAAGATAATCATCTGTGAAGTAAGGCATGACTGTCACTTGCTAACCAAGGAATTGATCCAGAATGAGGTACTGTGCCCAAATGTTGTGGGGTCTCTGGCACCTAGATGCTTTTGGCTGATGTAGATTTATGTAAATACATGCTGCTGAACCAACACGTGAAATGTTTGTAGTTGTACAGTGGATGGGAGACCCTGGTCTCAACAAAAGCTACGTAACTGAATGCTTAGCATCTGTTCTTGGATGGCTAAGTGCTTCTGCATAATTAAAATTGGAAGATAACTTTTTAATATAATGTTAAGCATGTGTATTCATTAAAAAAAAAAAAAGCTAAAAAACAGGGGAAAGGTAAAATGTGATGAAGTCTAATTATCAAACTGCCCTTCTTCAAGCATTAGAAGCACAGTCTGTTCCCTCAGGACAGGTTGATTCAGCAGCAGTTGAGGGGAAATGCAAGGGAGAGTAGTAACTGTCCCTTAAAAATCAGCACTTAAGTTAGAAAAATGCAGTTTGCTACACTATACTCACTTCTCTGAACTTCAGTATAGGTTAAAAATGACAATGTGTGGTATGTATCCCCATGAAAAAGACTGCAATTCATTTTAATACCCACTTGTCTTTACAAGAGTATAAATTTGGTTGTCTGGAATACTCTTTTCATGTCATAAAAGACTCCTTGTGATTTCAGGCTTTCTCTTCTAATTTACTGAAGAATAGTTACCTACGTTATAACTTTGGAATTGAGTCTCATGTTGTGAGAGCAGCTTGATAACAAATTTCATAAATTTGAGAGAATTTCATAGTTTACAGAAGGTTTGAAGCCAAGAAGTGTTCTTCTATTGTAATAATATTGCACTTATAAAATTCAGATGTTTTTCTCTA